TGTCAGTTGTGTTGAAAAAGGGGTTTTATCTATAGCTAGATTCAAAGCTGTTTTGGCGTGTCCATGCCAGTTAGCTGTATTTCAGTACTGACAATCTCAAATGTTCAAAATTATGAAGCTATCTACAGAAAGAATGATGTTTTCTTTAAAATTATGAAGTTTGGAGGGAAAAAAAATCCTTGTTTAGTTGTAAAATCAGCTGTTGTTTATAATTTTGCATACCAGTCACAAAACATTTATGAGGCTCTCAAATCATGTTTTTGAATTTTGGTAGCCACGACATGACAACTTGGATTTCCAGGTAATGATATAAGTCTAATATCTGTGGATTATTCATCAGTGGTGTCCCAGTCAGTGGTGATGTTTTAGAATACAGTCTGGCCGTGACTTATAATATAGCTTAGCTGGTGGCTAAGAAAGTAACAGAGATGTCAGTTTATGTCATATTTAATCTAAACCTTGTTGACAATTTTCAGGCCTCCATCTGGATGACAGGTCATTATGAGTAACACAAGCTTTGAATACAACTTCATATGCTAGGTCATCTGTGAAAGTACACCTAGTTATCCCTAATCTTAAAAAAAGTTTCACACACTGGGAAAGGACAACTTAAGTTTTAAAAGTCATTCTTCAGTCTTCTTTCATATTTGTCTTATAACTGCACAGAGCTAAATTTAAAAACTTTCAAGACTTGTCTTATAATTCATAAGAAAAAAAAAAAGTAGCTTCAGCTTCTGATCAATGAGCCAGTACCACAAGCACTCCAAAATTTAAAGAAAAACGTTACTCTGATCCTGTCAAACTCAGATCACTGCCATGTGTTATAGAAAAAGTATAGGGAGTAGTGAGAAATCATTGCTAGATACTGTTACAAAGGCATTCCATAAAACACAGAAATCTGCTGATATTTCTTATAACGAATTACTTGAACCTTAAGGGGTGTGTCAAAACTATGGGAATGAGGAGCACTTCGCAGATCTGGTCTATCTTGGCTGCCTGTTGGGATAAATCTCTCCACACTTTAATTTCCTATGGAAACGCAGGTGCGCAGGTAGGCAGGGAGTGGAACTGCACTTCCATAGCCCCCTTGATGTAGATCAGCTGGGATATCAGGATGCAGCCCAAACTGCACTTTCTCCCCGTTTATGGCCCACATAGTCCCAGCAGTGGGATTAAATTTGAAGTCCTTCAGTAATCTTTATTTTGTACATGACTATGTTATTTGTGTAAAAGCATACAACAAAACACATAAATAATTTTAAAGATGTCTATAGCAACCTCCACTCAAGTGGCATCTAAAATAAAAATGAAAAAAAAAGATTAAAGGTAACAATGACAAAACAGGAAGACGTGAAACGCATTAGGTCTTTGAAGAACACGACTGTGGCTATTAGGAAGCTTTGACATTCAGTTTAGATTGTGACCTTGGCGAGACACTAAATGCAACAAGGTTCTCTTAGAGGAGGGTACAGAAAAGCAACAAAGCTGGTGAAGGGTTTAGAGAACCAGTCCTATGGGAAGCAGCTGAAGGAACAAGGGTTGTGTAGCCTGGAGAAGAGGAGGCTCAGAGACCTTATTGCACTCTACAACTGCCTGAAAGGAGGTTGTAGTAGGGTGGGGGTCAGTCTCTTCTACCAAGTACAAGCAAAAGAACAAAAGAAAATGGCCTTCACGTTGCTCCAGGAGAGGTTTAGATTGGATATTAGGAAAAATTCTTCACTGAAAGGGTTATTGAGCACTGGAACAGGCTGCCCAGGGAAGTGTTACCAACCCTTGAGGTGTTTAAAAGATGCATAGATGTGGAACTTAGGAACATGGTTTAGGGTGGACTTGATAGTGTTAGGTTAATGGTTGGACTTAATGATCTTAAGGGTCTTTTCCAACCTAAATGATTCTATGTTTCTAAAGAATAAGTTGACAAGTTTCTTAATAAGCCAGTGCTGAAACAGACATGTATGGAAGCACAAAATGATAGCAACACATACAAAAAAAACTGTGACACGGAAAACCTAGGAAGATCTGCAATAGTTTCATGACAGTTTGAAGCATTAATATTCTTGAAGATGAACAGAGTCTGTAGCACAGTACATCAGAGGGTACAGTTTAAATGCTGATATTTCAGCAGCTCTGTTTTCACTGGACTTCCACTCTAAATGATGCCGTGATAGAAGTGTCATCTCTTAGATAGGTTGCCGAAGATAAGGGGCAAAACTTGAGTGATATTCTGAATGTCTTTTTTCCTTTGTATCTAGCCAATATCTAAATTCACCTTGTCTACAACTAGAAGGACAAATAAGCAGCTGAGTCTTGAACTCCCACCAACATTTTTATTTTTTTTCAGCAGAGGTATTCATCCAGCACCTCTTTTCCAAAGGCATCTCTTGGCTGCTAAACAAAGTCTGGAAATCTGAATCCATTCATGAACTCAGATTTCCCATGTGGCAACACACCATACCTCAAGCTGCCCTTACTAGCTCTAGACAGACATGTGCACTGTCCTTAAAATGGCACACATCACTGTAGCTTGGGTTACACATGTCAAAGCTTCGTTCTGCACTATCCAGTAACATGGGGAATGTCAGTACCACGAAATGTATCAAGATATTAAATTAAGGACACTAGAAAGAGAAAGGATGAATTGAAGGAAATGAACTAAACTAAGAAATCCATCATGGACCTGATGTCAGATGAATCAGTAACTGTGTATATGTAAGTATTCCATTGCAACTTTTCATCCCAACTGGGGAAACAAATATCCTTCAACACATTGAAATATGAGAAGTTGGCACAGGATGGGAATTCCTTTACAAAGTAGTTTATAAATAACTGATTAGTCAACAAGTAATTTTGAAAGTCCATGTATCTCCCAAGTCCTTTTTTCTAGGGGGAAAAAAAAAAATCATTGCAAACCACTTGTCTGAAAGTTATTTTTTACCTACATTCAGTTCATTATTTCTCTGCTTAAAGACAATACTGGAGTGGCCAATCACATACAATAAAGGAATCCGAAAATTATTTGTTTTATAAGGGACTATTGAAAAATATAGATATGGAAAATCAGAAATGTCTCATTAAGGTGCTAGCTTCCTTCTGAATATTATTTGTAATAAATGGCTGATGAGCTTCAGGCATCATCTTACTGTTATGAAGACCTGAAAACTTGACTATGTCAAAATACTTAAAAAAAAAAGGGCAAAAAAACATGTCAGCCTGTGCTCCTGTCAGTTCTATGTCATAGGCTAATCATGATATTAAGCCAATAAATAGAAATATTATGCTGAATTGAATTTGAGAGTTAACTGTTCTGTATGGATGAGTCAATACAGTATCTGTATTGGATCTTGGATCTGAACTTGCAGCTTCTCCACTGTATACAAGTCCTTTCCAAAATTATTTTTAAATTCAGCTTTTTTTGTTTGCCTAGAGACTGATTAAAGATAATGTATGTTGGTTGGCAAGCAAGGAGAACCAGGGCTTTAAGATGTTTTATCACAGGCATATCATGTACTATCTATACAGTAAAGAAAATATAACATTTACATGTACTGCTGTTGTCAGACTTCAAAATGAAGGGACAATTTGTGAGATATTACCCGAACTATTTAATTCTGGGTCACAGAGAAACAAAACAGAAAAAAGTGCTCATAAGAATATTTCTCTATACAGAAAATAATAATGCCTTTTAATCAGGAAAATTCTGTCAGTATTTCAAGAATAATTTGAAAATAATCCTATTTGTCAACAATCACAAGTTTATTGGTCCTATTGTTTTTGTCCAAGGTTAAAAAAGCAAATTTTGAAACTGTCAGATGTTTGGATATTAATGGAAAAATATAAAGATGCTTTAACCTTTTCTCAAGAACAGTGGCATAACTAGAACCTGTTAGGTTTAGAAAGAGCAAAATGATTCTCAAACAAAAGTAAATTGAGGGGGCAAAATATTGCATAAGATTCTATCTAAATAGTACATTAATCTTACTACCCTGACCGGTAGGGTTCCTATCTATTTTCATGTTCTCTTCTACTGTATCATGAGGTAGAGAGTATACCAGTGGCACTCACTTCCAGACCGTGGTAACCTTGCTAGAGACTAAACTCAGTCTTGATAAACACTGATTTCTACCTTTGGCTTGAAACTGTATGCCTCATATATACATCTCTCACTAAAATGAGTGAAAATTCACTGAAGGTTTATATCATGAAAAAGACATTTTCATACTGACGTATTTTTCCATTATCATTTGACCACTGCTTGTCAATAAAATTGTGCTTGCTATATCTTGAATAGCTTGTGAATTCACTGGTGGGCAGACTTCTTAAAGAGCTCTAACTTTCTTCAAAACTGCTAAAGCCTTAAAATCTGGTGGAAAAATAGATATGTATATATTGTCTCACTGAGAGAATTTTCTCAATGTTTCCTACACTTTCATTAATAGTATAATCACTTAAATAACATGAGCTGGGGGAAAAAAAGAGTTGTGTTGCAGAAGTGCTTAGGGGACTATACAGTCCTTTTCATAGAATAATAGAATAGTTAGGGTTGGAAGGGACCTTAAGATCATCTAGTTCCAACCTCCCTGCCATGGGCAGGGACACCTTGCACTAAACCATGTCACCCAAGACTCCAGGCAACCTGGCCTTGAACACTGCCAGGGATGGAGCATTCACAACTTCCTCGGGCAACTCATTCCAGTGCCTCACCACCCTCACTGTAAAGAACTTCTTCCTTATATCTAACCTAAACTTCCCTTAAGTTTGAACCCATTACCCCTTGTCCTATCACTACAATCCCTAATGAAAAGTCCCTCCCCAGCATCCTTGTATGCCCCATGTATCTGCCCTTTACTGTGGACTTATTACAGTCTCAGAAAAACACACAGAAATCATTCAAGTGTTACCCTGCGATGTAAGCTAGACAGTACTTGTGACACTGGCAGCATTTCAGCCATACCATTCTGTGATGCAGTGTTCAATAACCCATAGTCAAAATTGCAACTCACCTTCTGCATCTTCTGGCCTTGTAAGATCGATGACACCAGGACCCAGTTTTCCATCTTCATTTGGTTTCCCTGTTATCTGTGGGCCTAAATTTTCAAACCTTGTTCTTTCCTGGAAAAGAACAGAAGTAGTCTTAATGCTCCATATAGGATAATTATTAAATGCCTGTGCATATGTGTATACACTGATACATGCCTTATTTTTTAAATGTGAACAAATAATGAATGCATTTAATTAGAATTTCAACTCAGGGACAAATTTTTACAGATTCTGACTGTTTGCATTTATGAAAATCAGTTTTAAATGTGAAACATATACAGAAACTTTGAGATTATTTTGATCTGCATTGCCATAATGCATAAGCAATTGTACATGCAAATACAAAACACTCTTGGCAGCCAACAGTGCTGATCAACGTTGCTCACTTTGCCTTTCCGCTTGTTCTCTAAGTTAAACTGGAAAAGACAATCAACATTTGGAGACATGAAAATTCAGAATTCGAAAGAAGTTTGTATTAAAATATACTGCTAATTTACTGGAAAAAGCACTTTTCCCCCAATATGAGATTCAAGTTTGCATTCATACCTCTGAGCAACACAAGTCTGAATTTTATACAAAAGGTTTTCAAAGAAAAGTATTTGAAAGAAGGAATAATAGATGACAGAACTGATATTATTATTTTGCCTAGGAATTTAAATTGTACCTCAGTAGAAAGGGAACTTGAGGAGATTAAAAAAAAAAAAAAAACAAAAAGAAAGGGTGGGGGGGAAGAATGTACAGTCCTATTAAAACAGAAAACTTTTGAGAGCTGGAGACCTCCACAGGAAACCTGGAACTAGAAGGTGGAAACTGAAAGGTATTTTATGTGTTAGCCCAGTTCCTTAGTCAGCTACTGGACAAGGGCACTATAAATGGCACTGTAATGTTGTCTCACAATAGTAGTCTCTGTAGTACTGTGTATCAGTAGCAAAGTGTTCAAAGGTTATCATTAATTTAGCGTTCTCATTTGAAGGAACATAGCATGTTTTCCCTCTTGCCTTGTTGTTACCTCTCCAGACTAAACTTGGCATTATGTTATACTTGTGAAAGAATGAAACCTTGTTGTTCGTTACTATGAAACAATATTAAATGTCATGTCAGCTTGAATTTGCAGACATGAAATACCAGCTTTCAGCTCTACAAACAGTTTCTCCATGTTATACTTAATGCATTATGCAGAAATAGAGTGCTGATTGCTGTTCAGCCTATTGTTCAATGACCTAGTTCTGTGTTGTGCATACTAGACGTAAGAAGAAAACACCAGGAGTTTCTTTCCTGCAAGATGGTTAGAAACTTGGAAATGTTCTTAAGGAATAAAAACCCCCATACTTCATGGCTTTGACTCCACCTTTGTTCCACCTTCAAATACTACTTCTTTCCAATGTGGTTATTGTTCTATTATTATTATCTTTCAGTAATAAAACTCCACCAGGTCATCAACTGAGGAATTCTCTCGATTCCTCAACCTTTCGATTCCAGCAGCCATGGATTTTTTTAAATTATTCTCTGTTTAATTTGCAGAGGAACACAAAAAAATCTGACACTGGATTTGCCACAACTTGCAGCTGAGGCATTTCAGTTACTAATTGCATTTCTAAAAATTCCTCAGAACCTTCCAGTTCGCGAACAAAATAACTCTGCATTTTATATTCGGTTAACTTCTTAACTTATTTTCTTCTGTAAAATCTGTGATTGGTGACAGAGCTTACATATACAAAGGAACTCACAAGAAAAGAAAGATTTACAAATGGAATATGACTGCAGAAAGGCACTGTAATACTGAAAGATGTTGTGCGATGTAACAATACACCTGAATCATCAGGATGGGATCTGTTATACTGCTAGACAGAATAAAAAGTAAGTTTGTCAAGAATTCTGCGTTCCATCACAAAGGGCTGATTTGCAGTAGAGATAAAAACAAAGATCGGTACTAAGAAAACAGCTTTTGGCACATATATTCTCTCTTCCAAAATATTTGTGCTGAAAGATTTTTCTTAAGGATGTTAATACAGTACCTGCAGTATTCTTGGAAGAACAGCTTTTAAGGGTGTTTCAGAAGAAGGAGAAATAGCTTTCTACTACAAAAATCAACAGACCTTGCTACATAGCAATATGCACATTTGGAATATCTTTCTAGTCATTCATTCTCTTTGATTTTACCAGAAAATATTCTGGTTAAGAAATAAAAAAAAAAAAAAAAAAAAGGAAATGAAAAAGAAAGTTTCTGAAAGAATATCAATATTTTGACATGTAAGGAGAAAAGGGAAAATTACATGATGAGGTTCAGGAGCAGTAAAATGATAGCACTTATACCATAAAAAATACCTGCTCTTGTCAAACAAAAGATGTACTTAATGTTATTTAATAACCTCTTCCTTCTAATTCATAAAAAGCTGTAACAAAGCTAGCTGTATTAAAGTCTTTGAAATGCCTTTTAAAGTCATTCTTTTGCTTGCTTTTTTACTGCGAATAATCTTCATAGTGATCGTAAAAAAAAAAAAAAATCAGTATTTCCAATGGGTTTAGACTAAATCAGAGAACAGTAGAAAATAAAAAATATTTCTCAATACTAATGATGTTTTTATCTAGTAGATGCCTTTACAATTCTGTGAAATACAACAAATTCATATGAAATTTATTATTAAGAGGATATGTGTCCCACTAGGCTCCAATCCTTTCTTTATGGGTTTTGTCTTTGTGCCCATCTTGAATTCATCCTGAAGAGAATAGTTACTTGCACTAGAAATTCTTTAAAGGTATACGTTTTTCCTAATATGAGCAAGGACTGAGAGGAAGATTTACTCTGTACGTAATATTCCTATTCCTATTAAAAATAAATGGCTATACATATCTGCAATAATAACTATGTTCCCTACATGTGCATTATACTTGCACACATGTACATTGACTACTGGATATATTACTACCTCCCTAATCTACATTATCAGAAAATTTCAGTGAGTTTGTAATGAAGTGCAGGTATTCACTTTTTTTTAAATTGTGAAAGAGCATTTTAGACTTCTATTTTGAACTGTTTTGGTTTGGGATTTTTTGGGGTTTTTTTTGTTTGTTTTTTTTCTTTTTTTTATGTGGTGGCTACAGAGCTTATACTATATATTCACATTAAGTTTTCAGAAAAAAGGTTTAGGACATGACACTGACAACCCTTTCTCATGACTAGATCAACACAGTTGGTTGGAGTTTGTGCTAGAAAACTGAAAGCTCTTCCCAGCACAATTCAGATCCTTTGTACTTTTTATATGTTGAACACACAGTAAAAATAATCACTTCTTTAGAATGAGAAAAAGAAGAGCAAGAAGATTCTTCTTAGCAGCCAAATCTTAATTTTCCATTCTGTGATATGATTAGGCACTTATTTATGCATTGTCAGTCAAAAACATGCAGAAAACGTAAAAGTTATTGAAAAAAATTGAAGTCTGCTCAACTGTCTTGCAGGACTGTTGGTTCTCTAAGTGCTTTGAAATTATGATGTATGAGGTAGATGTTGCATATTAAATAAAGATATTTAAATTATAAAGCCCCCGTTAGTGAGAGCTGATGAATGTTAAATGTTATGAGCCACAAGGCTGTGGCATCCATCATATTCACATATTATCACAGTCAGTGATGGAGCAGACCCAGTGATGACAGATAGACTGCTAGATAGTTATCCCTTATTTTCCAGAGTCGCCAAGCAAGCCTTTCAACCCCTTTGGCATTATTTTTAGCTTTGCATTAAATTAGCAACTTTTCCGTCACGTTCTGGCAGAAAGTATCAATTCTTTCTTCACATGTGGAAGGTAAAAGAATGATTTAGTGAAGCAAGGAGTAAAGGAAAAGGAAGCAGTAGCCTCTACCTCTGAAAAAGCTGCAAACTTCAAATGACTAGAAACAAATAAAAAATTGTGATCTTGTGAAAGAACAGCAATGAAACAGTAAGCACACAATAATGGCTTTTCTCTGCACTTAGATAAAAGCTGAATTTTTGATGTGCACAGTATATTTTCATAAAATTTTATATACTATGTTTTATACACTTATTGGCTATTCCATAATAATGTGTGTGCTAACAGTAAAATTGCTCTTAAATTTATGTGTGTTATTTATATGTTCCCACGTAACAATGCTTTTTGTTGTAAAAAATATTCTGTTTATTAATGTAACTTTACAACCGCTGCATCCAAGATCCGTGGTAAATTAATGACATTTTTATTATTTTATAGTGTCATTAAATTTTTACTGATCACTCCATCAAACAGAAGCAATAAAGGCCATAATGCAAACTGCGACACTTAGATCAGGGGAGTAGGAAGGCATTCTATATAGTCAGAAGTAAACGGCTTGCTATAAATGATATTTATACCATCTTTAAGGATGTGAGAATACTTGGACAAGTTTGGCAAAACTGTTTCTGTAGTACCGTGGATTGTGTACTTAAATAACAGTTTACTTGCCAGCAAGACAATTTTTTTTCAAACCATATGCGAGATGACTGATTGCATCCATCTCTTAAAAAATAATATACGAAATGTAATAATACACTGGGCACCCCTCCCTTCTGGATTACCAAGACTGATCTGACTATACCCATGCCTCAAATTATTTCAACATGCTTGCTTTTTCCACATCTGAAATGTATGCTTAGTCTGAAATGGAAAATGTCATGCACTCTGATCATTGTGTGAAAGATTGAAAAAAAATATATTTTTTGCAAACAAATACTTTTTATTTAAGTAGACATGTTTGTATAATGATGTAATACCCTTTATTTCAGTAGTCTAGCATGGAAGCAGTTACCAACATCAATTTAAAGAGCCAGTTTCTAGAAACTGGATTAATACGGGTCATTCACAGAAGCCACAGAAGATATTACTGAAGGGATATTATTTCTTCTGAGGACAGTTCTTTAGTTAGAATGACTACAAATAATTACTGCATGTTGTCTTCATGTATGAATGTATTTCAATTGAATTATTCAATACTAAATGTTCTAGTAGCTTATTTGCTAATCATGATCTATTCCCTCATGTACCATGGACAGTAAACAACAGGAAAGCAACTTAGTGTATTCA